TAATAATAATAATAATAATAATAATAATAATAACAATTGTTACCGATACCTTGGTTATGAGTGTAATAGATCGGTAATTCAGCGCCGACAGGCAGTGAGAAGAAAACTGCAATAAAAATTAATATTCCATATTTACAACGCACACAAAAATGACAAAGGTTCAGTTTCATGTGCCAAGTTATCAATAAAAATCATTACCTTGGCAAGACCACATGTATCTGCCACAGCTATTTACTTACTTCTTTGAATTAAATTTTTCTTTTTATTGAGCCTTCTTCCTACAACCAAAAATAATATTTAAGTCGGAAGAAATAAAGAAGAAATAGTCACAGTTTTGTTCTTTTTTAGAGCGCTTGATTTTATACAAATGTAATCTTTTAGGAGAACAATGACGGATCTTCACTTTGTGAGACCAAAATAAAACTAATCACCCAGGCCAGTTAGAATAATAAATGGGTTATCTTCGTACATGTACCCATGCAAGAATGTTTACAATACGGATTCGCAGCTCACCATCTATAGAAACGACCACTGACTTCTGATTTAAGCAAGAAAATTTATTCAGACCGATTAAGAGCAAAAAGACTCCGACGAAAATTGGCACTCACTCAAACGACAATTTTAATCTATTATTGGGAATACGCGTTCTCATATCAACACTTTTCTTGTATTATTATCTTACGGTTAGCTATTGAGGCATAAAAAGCATTTGTTTCATATTGACAAAGAAATCGCTATCAGTGTGTTTAACAATTCACCTTTGGCCATGCTAGTTCGTGCTGGAACATACACGTGTTTTACTACGTGAACTCTGGGAAACGGATGTGGAACTGTAAAAGACACAAATATGAACTGTTAAGTGAAATAACATTAAATTACGTCGAATCTTTCATCTCAAGATATGAAAGGGAACTTTTTATACCTCAATCCTTTCAATTCTGTTATAATACCTACAGAAGACAAAGAATCGAAAACAAAAACCAAAGAAATCACAACGGCCAATCAAAAAAAATCTTAAAATTATAAAAGACCAATCAGATTAAAGAGCTTTCGACATGAAGCGCGAGAGAACGCTCCTTAATAATCATAAAAGAAGCGTGAGGTTTCTGTACCAACCACGAGGCAAAGGAAAAAAAGCAAAGACGCAACATTTTTAAATTTCTTATTCTAAAAATTCAGATCATAAAAGGATAAATTTGTAAGCTCACTTTCCCCTCGTTTCTTGTACGCTTGAACATCCGCTGGGGCAGGAGTGGGGACAACTGTAAAATGTACAATTCGGCATAAATTAGAAAATCGCTCTGACGAAGGGCTAACGCTCGAAACGTTAGCAAATACAGCTCTTTACATGCAGTAATGAAAAAATATTTCTTCGTAAAACCGTTTTTTAGGAAAAGTTCCTAATTGCTTGCAAGGTGCTGTAATTACTTTAAGTATAATGAACAAAAAAAAAGAACTCAGCCCTCAATAAATTACTAATTTGCATGGTGAAATGCTCATGATTTTTATGAAAATCTTTTCCCACCGCGCGTACTAATGCAGTTTTATAAAGCAATACTCTAATTTCTGGGGACAAAAATTACAACAACAACAAAATTTTTGTCTGTATTTGTAAGCTTCGAGGAAATCCGTGTGCGAATCAATTGCAATCCTGCAGCTCGGAAAAAGCGCGCTTTTTGAAAGTTTTTAAACCCCACTAGTTCCCCCTTTTTCCCTAGTAACTACTTAACTCATTGGAAATAAATATTTGGCACTATGTTTTGAAAAAACTCACCAGATCTGTCCCTCCAATTTGGAGAGTCTTTCCAAGAGACCATTCCATGGGCACCCTTGACGAAAACTTGAACTTCAAATGAAATAACAAGAACTCCTAAATTTCAAGTCCAGTTTCAAATTAAACCAAGAAAATTTGCCTGTTGTAAGTACCTGCATAGCAAAATCCACAACTCCAAATCAAGAAGAAAGCTGCCAGGTTGGACACTCTTTGCATCTTGGGAAGAACAACGAAAACTGTCTCTAAATGAAGCAAAGTATTAACATTGAAATACAAACATTGGAAAAACCTAGAATGCTCACACACATGCGTACTAGTATAATAGTAATTCCCAAATGTTAACAAATGCAGCATCTAACTCAGTGAGAGTAGCACGTGCAAAAATTTAACCTGGAAACCTCAGTCATACATTCAGTTGCACTGTCCACGCAGCTAAGAGAACTACGAGACAGCAGAAAAGCCGAGTCGGAAACAATAGCATATTCCGAGCAAAAAATTTCAATAAGGTAAGGTAAGTATTGTTTACTGAGGATTGCCACATATTACACACACCTTATGATTGCATTTGTTCATGCTAACAATAATATAGATTTATCCATTTTCTTGGCACAATAACACTAACAACATTTTTGAACTTGAAAAAGCAGGAACATTTTTGTCTAAAACACTTATAACTCTCACTCATAATTCTAACTGTGGAATTCTGATGATGTCGATATTTCAGTGAGTCGTTCATTGTCGATAAGCGTGCTAAGAGTTACATCCCACGATACATTGATAAGTCATGCATGAAATATGTCTGCCGGTGTGGAAGAGACGAAAATGTCGCTTAAAATTGTTTATATTTAATTCGTCCTTGGGGCATTCTACCAAATGTAGTCTATTCTCTTGAAATATATCATTACTTTGTCACGATACGTCTATGAACGATTAAGAAACTATATCTCTAAACTTCTAAAATTTCCATGGTCATGAACAGGTTCTAGTATGTTAAAACAAACAAACGAGAACATCTACATAAAAAGTCTTTCCTAAGAACTACAGACAACAGACAAACCTTCCTTTGAGTGGTTCGCTATTTGAATTAAAACTTTGATGTAAGTACTTCGGCTAAACCATGTTCATTGTTCGGTCACTTCTGGCGATTCTTGAATTATCGGTGAGAACGATGCTACGAGTGGTGAACTGTGATGTCATTTCTACATCTCACCAATCCCACCTGTCTCTGGGGTCAGGTACTTTTGGTTTGAATTGTTCGGCGGTCAATGAAAGCACCTGAAGTGTAGGTTAGACTCAGTTGTTATGGCACCAAAAAAATAACAAAAAGGTTATCAAAAGTTAAAGCTTTATTTGCAAACTTAAGTTTTGATAGATTTAGTACATTCGATTAAAATAATTGAACATAGCTGACTTATAAACGCCTTTGCGCATTTAAAAATTACAACATTTTTTGATAAACGAACATTTTATTCAAATGATAGGTATAGCTGCGGGCTTCCTTTACAAAGATGTACTCATCTTTTCAGTTCTTCTTTATTTCCCTGTTAATTTAGTTGGAAAGTGCATAACATTTACGCTATGAAATAATCAATAGGAATTTATGCATTATTACTAACTTTCATAATAATCCAATGCCTCACTGGATACTGTCTGCGTATGAGAACCAGTAGCACTATCTGAACTGGCTTTAGACACAAAAATTGCAAGCATCGTTGTACATGTTCCTTCTTTGGTATGGTTCAGAGTTGAACAATGTTAGAAGAGCTACAGCTTCCTACCATAAACAAAGATTTAGAAGCTAACCAAGTGAAATCTTACATGGAACCCCTTGCCTTTTAGTTTCTTTAAAGCAACATGCAACACCGTAGCTCTACTGAGCTGATGTCAAACATGGGCTAACAGGTCTTTATAAATGATCTCTGCCATTCGTTCATACCCAGCAGACTTCATATGCAATCCCACCTCCCACATTTGTTTTCGTTCCTCGCTACTTAACGAGTATCGTGGAAATTTATCCGCAAGATCACAAAGGATGGTAAATTCGTTGGATCTTGCGTAATATCTCAATTTTTCATTGATGTATCTCCTTTCCAAATGTGTGTGAAGGCAAGGTGGTCTCTTGGATTCCTCGCAGTCCATCTCAGGGATGGTGACCGCCACCGTTTTCGCGCCATAGCGATGAGATGTGATGTGAAGGTTTATGATGCGTTCTGCCGCTTTGTCCCAGGCTCTTCTGTTCCGATCGTGGCTGTTGTGAGCGATATCGTTTGTGCCAGCTAGTATTATGATCCAGGAATATTTGGATTTAGCTGTTAAGGAAAAAAAACCGTTGAAAATAATTGGATTAGAACGTACACCCTTTACTTTTAAAACAAGTAGGGTGAATTGAATGGTAGCTAAACAAGAACAACCAATAAGGCCGCATTACAATACGGATGAAGGGGGTTAGGATGAAGGATGTTCATCGTATGAGGTAAAAAAGAACCTTCACTGCTGTTGTTGTTTCCAGAAGCGAAAAATTTCTCTCAGTGTAGACATCTTCCACGCAAGAATTGTCGTTTCGTCAGTTTGACCAGGATGTGACTGATATTAATAGTAGTTGTCAAAATATACGCCGTGCCATTCCACTCCCAGTAAAAATGATCTAGAATACCATGATAAGGTGTCCGCAGACCTCCATAAACGCATAACAAAACATTTATATTGGCTTAATAAAGCAGTCAAGTCAGTCCAAGTGACATGTACTTTGCGTATTATTATGGGTGTTAATATAATAAACGTTAACACAATGATGATCATTTTTTAATAATTCTGTACCGCGTTTTAGATGATCTTGAAGCCTGGAAGACATTTCTGCCGCTTCAGTACCGTCTTTAGCTACTGTAGTCACAGTGTAACATCTGTGTTGGTCTTTGTTCAGCAGAAACTCCAGAGTGTTGCCGTACGGCGTGTGACTTAAATCATCAGCATGGAAACCGTTTGTCAGGCTGTCGCCAAACGCAAGAATAGGCAATACCCGCACTCCTGTAATGAACATAGCTATGTTGACTCGAGTGAACTCCACCAGGAAAGTCTCCATTCCCCCCACCCTCTCCCCTAACTCTGAATTGTTGTCTATCTTTTTGTAACATTATGCAACGTTAAACCTGAATCAATATTGTTCACAACGAAGTAAATTCTGATCGACCGAGGCCTAACCTTTACATTAAAAAATGGTTTTTGATTGTGTCGTTAGAGCAAATCCTAGAAGCATCACAAACAGCCAATCATAACGAAGAATGATAAAAGAAGGATTCACCAAGAACCCAAGGGCAATAAATGTGACCTCGTCGCCAATTTCTTTGACACTTAATCTATTAGAATTTATCAGAATTATTGTTGTCACAGAAGGACAAAGAGCCGAAACCCATGTTATTACCTTTCCTTATTTCGCATATGTAACCAGCCTTCGGCTCTCTGCACGAAACCATGTTGATGGAACCTTCAAATAGAGCCGCGCAATTTTTGTTCCCCAGCTCATCTTTTACGTCAACGTCACGTGTGTAGGGTACATCATCAATCCATGTCCAGATTCCTCCCTTCTTTCGCAGTCCTATGTAGAAATTTTTTGTGCGATGTTTCAACGACACAATTTTATTTTGTAAAAATTGTACTTCTCCGTCTGTTTTTGGCATCGCAAGAAGACCATTTTCTTTATTGCACTTTTGCGGAAACTCTTCCCATCTCCCATTTGATTTTGAGACAAACAAATAGCAGAATTCGTCGAATGCAAGCCATCCATGAGGACACCTCTCTCTGTAATCTGTGCAAAAAATTGGAAAAAGGTCAATTCCAATCATTTCATAACCAAAAGGAATAAACCGCTGTGATGGTAAACAGCGCTTAATCGATACTAACTGCAGAAAAATTCTTAACTAACTCAAAAACACACACTCCGCTTTCCCGAGGGGCAATATATCTACTCATCTGACATCAGTCGTGACGCTGATTAATGTTGATATGTTATACGAATTAATACAAAAAAGGGAAAAAATCTTTTGATTACAATATGTAAATGTATGATTGCTGAGTTCCTTACTTCCTCTGATGTAACTGATTTTATTATTGGGAAAATCAAGTTCTACGAAATTTATATTGCGCTGCCCCTATGCGACAGCTCTCTATAAGAACACGTTTGTTTAAACAAAGGAGACCAAGTAAAACCTAATTTGATATTATGTTACCAGTTTTTCCCATTTTTTCGCATTTCGTTATTGTTGCCTTGTCTTCAGCTCCAAAAATACCTAATCAAAAAAAAGCATGGTAAATGGTTGATTAAGTTGTGAATGCAATAGTAATTTTAAAAATATGGTTATCTTCCCTGCACGTTTTAGCTCGACGAGATTACCTCTATGTTGCTTCGTCTTTGTCGATAGGAAAACTTTGGTTATCCTATGTGGATGAACTTGTTTCTGATGGTGTTCATGTGCTGACACAAAATGATCACCACTACCTGACTCTCCTCCGCTGCCATGAGCAGACGTGTCATGAGCCAGACCAAATTTTGGAAATGGAATTGTTGTCCTTCTGTTGGTAATCAAAGAGGTTGGTTTTGTAAAATGTCTCTTCTTTGTGGGTCTGAAATGTTGTAAAGGATTCACTTTTTTGTCTTCTATGCTCCCATTTCCTTTGGTTTCATTATACATGTCATCACTTTCTTCCTCAATGTGAGATAAAGCTTTTTCTCTGTAAGGTTGAGGTAAGGCAGGAGACGTTGTGTTCTTTATCCTTATGTCAGTTTGGATGGCAAGTCCTAAAGCTGTCTTTACCTTCTTATTTAGATCATCACTGTTCTCGCCTGAATAAGAATCGTCTCCTGAAGACAACGATGCAGTCTCAGTTGTTTCACTCTCTCCTTGAAACTTTCCCAGTATTTCCTCTTCTCTTAAAGGCACAGTTGCTCCATTCATCTTCCAGGGAGTCGTCGGTCGCACAATTGAACCTTTGTTTTGAAAAGGCTCATCTTGTGCTGAACCAGCTGTTATAAGATTGATCGCCATAGGATTTTCCATAAACGCACTTTGAAAATAGTATCTGTCATCTGGATTCCCTAATAAAAACAGGTCGCTGGAGCGATATCCCGCAGCGTTCTCCGTTTCTGTGTTGGATGCTCCTTCATCACTTTGCTCTTTCATTGTATAGGGGGTACTTTTTGCACGTTTTTTAGTGTTTTTTACTGTTTCAGACCTTTCGTCCCATAATTGACCATAAAGCTTTTGCTGGAAAGATTTCAAACCACTACTCCACGCTCTTGCCTTAACGTCCTTGGCATGATTACGTAGAGCCTCTAAATCATTCAAATCGTCAGATATTTCTCCCATTTGTGGTTTAATAAGCGAGTTCAAATATCTGAAGCGAGACGGCGTCATGGACATCCAGCCCGGGTGTTCAGTGCTTTCTTGCCTAAGGGAATGATATCGAGAGCTTGCAGGTATTCTGCCAACGTTGTTCCTCTTAACAGCCTGAGATTTCCTTGACTTCTCGAGTAGCGAAGCAATATTGACAATCGCGGAACCTTCCACTGAATTTACGGAGTTTATGTCAGCGTAAAATGGCACCTCTCTGAGGGCACTATCCATAAACTTGTTACTATGTGCAGTTAGTTCTGGGTCTTTTAATAATAAAGCTGACTGTTCATTATCGTCCTTTAAAGAGCTTTCCTTGGTAACTTTTCTCTTCACTTTATCAGGATTGACATAATACTTATCCAGTATCTGAATCCGGGATCTAATCGTTCTTGTCTTTCCAGTTCTTCCCTTATCACCTCGCTTAGTCTGAAGTGTTACATGGCCACCAGTCAACCACTTATTCCGCGATTCCCTGTGCGGAAGGACCGCCGTTGATTCCTCGTGTGTTAAGTTGCCTTCATGTTTTACCTCGGGCCAAACGTGGTGAAGATTAGTCTTGACAGGAAAAGTTTCCACGCCTAAATGGTGAAGAATCAAATCTTAGATTTGGAGATATATTCAGAAAAATATATTTTCAGGTACATAGGTAAGATTCCAGTGAAATGGCTAGATGAAAAGTAAGAAGAACGCAGAGGGTAGTATAGCTATGATATCAATTGGAATAATTTATATTTGAAAAAGCAAGTATCTTAAATGGCAGATCCTCTCTGCTACGCTGGTTACACGACATTTGAATTTATGTCTAGAGATATCAATCAAGCGCTTAGCTGTATCTTACACATCACAGTTACCAACTCGTGCGTATCAGCCATGACAAACGTCAGTGCTTCAATCGTTTTCTATCCATATGAAGCCTTACTGAACCTGTTAATCTACCAGACTCTCGAGACAAGAAATGAAGCCAAACTAATGAAACAACCTTACCGACGCCTTAGGGTGATCATTTTCCAGTTATCGTTGCACTCGAGTTATTTGACTGAAATCCTGAAATAATGTTACATTTACTTTCCCTGTTACTGCAGTGTTTTTTCAAAGAACGAAAGTACGCGGTATGAAATGTCCAATTAAATTCGTGCGCCAAGATGTCTTAGATTTGATTCCGCTGACGTCTCTTGACATGAGAATGGTATAAGTTTAACTATCTTAGGAATAAGTCTTCCATGGCATTCGTAGTCTCATAGCCTGATCGTCTCCTGCTCAAAGTTAATACGATATGGTTGTGAACATACATGATGGCAGTTTTTAAATGCTGCGATATCTAAATTAAAACTGGCAAATCAAAACGTTTACCAACCTGTTAAAACACACAGGAAAAAACAAACCACTACAAATCCTCTTAGCAACCACACATCGTGAGCCATGTTTCTAATACCAGTATTACCGATCTTACAACAAGTCAACGACTCCACAGTTGCAACGAATTACTGAAGCTGTGTTTCACAGCTTAATTATTCAGAATGAAACAAATCCACACAGACATGTCTCACAAAAGCTCTTTTTTCTCGAGTTGGTTCCTTTAAAGTAACCACTCAAACACTTCAATTTTTGAGTCAGACCTCTTTAAGATTCTTAATTGGGTTGCTGGTACCACCTTGAGAGGAAGAACAGTCCAAAACATTCTTCATGTCTTACTAAAGGGATAAAATATTTTGTTTCTGCCTCTTCGCAATAGGAATATCCATGCAGGATGACGCCCTAGGTAAATATGTCAGAGGAAATTGTTATTTTTTTAAGAAAATTCAAACTACGTGGCCCTAAGAATGAAAAACCTGTTAATGATAGAAATCAACGGGTAACACATTCTTAAGTTGTCATACGCTTGATTGGGCGCATCGATGCGAAAAGACTCAAATTGTGAAGTTGATTTCACGGCTGACAAAGTTCCTAACGTCTGAGCGCAAAAGCCGAACTGGGTGTTTTCTTTCCATCTAGCGGGTCCCATATGTTTCGCGTACCAACGCCGCGCAAAACTGTTGTAGCGGTAGCGTTTGAACGCGGGAATGGAAAGGATCACCAAGGATACGATGACATCTCGAGCCCCGCATATACAGACGTCGCCAGGACAGGGCAGAACCTTCATTCTTTAGAGGAGAGCAATATAACGTCACTTCAAGACTCCGCTGACAGCTCTGAAGTATTTAGTAGTAAGAAAAGCACAAGATGCACCTTAATTTGCTAACGTACCGTACTGAGAAACTGTTGACCATAGATAAAAAAAAGGGTGTGCCTTGGTTCTGAATCTGGTAAAAAAATAACATTATGGTTACTGAAAAACATCTCATAGTGGTTTAAAAGTGCGACAAATTCGGCTGTAACCATATTAACCATAGAATGTATTGGAATCATGTTAGCCAAAAAAATTGTTCGCAATGTTTTGAACAGCTTACACGGGTCCTGTTTGACAGAAACAAACTAAAAGTTTTCTTGAACGGCTTTGCTGCTTGTGATTGATAGATTGTACTGAGTCGGTTATAGCTTCGATTAATGACCTAAACAAGCAAACGCGCGAACGAAAGTTTGTAATCTCTATAGAAGTGGAGAACGTTTAAGGAAGGATATTCCTTCTGTTTTTAATACTGTTTCTGTTGAAAATCACTGAGTGCAGCTTCAAATTTAAACACGTGCTAACTCGAGACAGACCGAAAGAAAATGATTGGTACATTATGTATTTATTAAATATACGTATCAAAATATTCCTTATTTACATTTTTCAATACCTAAGTTTCCCCAATTTTCCTTTCATTCACCCAACCCTTTTTAATTCTGGCGTTTTAGTCATAACCAACTTGAAGATTCATTCACAGTTTATACAGAACCAGTGAACGTTAGGCGATAGAAAGGTCTGAATTCATGTAGCCCTTAATTTGGTATAACTACACTACCAAGATGTTAGTTTTACGCTATTTTGTGATACCTGGCTTTTAATCCTAGGAGGAAAAACGGAAAACCACAAAAGATATTTACAGTTCTCGCAAAATGTCAGGATCTATGTCAGTTAAAATCTAAATTGTCCACGCTAGAAAAAAATTTACTGCAATTTACAACCGCCCCTATTAGTGATAATTTATAGCCTTTTTTCTCCTCCATTTCGGCATTAATATCAACACGGAAAGACCGAGCAAACTTTCATTCTTACCATAAATATTTAAGCGGTTTGCCCCTAAAAGATACCTTTGTTTAACTTTGAGAAGTCTCTGCAGAGGAGATTATTTTACATGGCTAATAAAACCTTCACATATAAATTTTTAAAGGTGTCACTAATGTTTCCATGGAAATAAGTACTCTTTCCACCAGACAGTACTGCTTAGTCACTGATTTACGTTGCCAGGCAAAGTTCGGGAGGTAAGCGCGTATTACCAAATCAGCAAAGAATTTATTCTATTTAGCTAGGAATCCGGCTTTCTTTTAATTTACACCTCTCTTTTTATCTGTGTGTTTTAGAGTCTTCTTATGGTTCTTTGACTTGTGTAAACTTCGCCTCCATCTTTTCACGTGTGGCTTCTTTCTCAATGCGTGTATAGTATGCTCTGCCTTGAGATACTTTAAAATTTCCCGCTGAATATCAAATAACTTGTCCATTTTGTTCAGCATTTTGGCCATAACAAGAGCGTTTGGTGAATTGTCTGGTTGGTCAGGGACATCAGTCCTTTTTCCTACAGTGAACTGTTGTCCAGCATCTAATTTCTTGTTCGATGACAGCGTATTGAAAAACTTCAACTTGTGCAACCTTCCTTCCGTCGACCCTTCCCTTGTCAGCTTGTCTTTTTCCGAAATTTCGGAAAGATGATCTTGTTTATTGTCTGAACTCCACCGGGACCTCTCTTCCCGATTTTTCTTTAAGCCACTAATTCGATTTCTTAGGAAATGACTCGTGTCGATTCGATTTCTTGAACCTTTGAGCCAAATATTTATCTCATTCCTCCTTCGTCGCTTGATGTCATTTTCAAGATCTTGTAGGTCACGCTTTCTAATGTCCTCCCCATCACTGATGCCGTCGTCCGTTTTGAGATTGTTAATACGATTCTTGGCACGCTGCATTGCAGAGTACTTTGCGGCCTCGATGATGGTCAAAATTTTCTCAATTTTCTTTATTTTATCCACTTCAAGTTTTGCAATGTTTTCCTTTCTGATGTCCTTTCGAATCTTCTCTTCATCATCTTGGATTTTCTTCTTTACTTGAGGGTCATCTGCCATTTTATCCTTTTGAAGCAGTTGTTTCTCTTTTGTAATTTCAGCTTTCTCGTTCTTCATGTCGTCTTCGTATTGTGTAGTCTCCATTTTAGCTTGTTTCTCAATATCATCGACGATGTGTCGCACGGAAGTTGGTGATAGCCCTATGGCCTCCTCAATCTTGGACATAGCTAGACTGGCTCTTTCGGTGTCATGAAGCTTTCTGTAAGCTTCTGCGATCAAAGGATTGACTGAAAATGAAAAAGTTTCAATTAAACTAATATTTCATTTTTCCTCTTGGTTAACGTTGGTTATATTTGCGTAACCGCTAGACAGAGAGCTAAAATCCACCATACCTCAGGAAAACTATTTAAGTTAGTTTTTATTTCTCGTGTGCAGGGTTCTTGAAGAAGTAAAAAAAAAAATGTTTCGCTTCACTAAAAGTGTTTCATCTTTTTTTTTCATTTTCAATATTCGATGAGTATGGTATAAGATGCGCGACAAATGATTGACTTCTGTATATGACATAAAAAGAGACTTGTCATTTACTTTTAACAAATTTTGATCTTGGAAGCCTTACTCACTGATTTACCAAGCTGGTAGCTTGTGAGATAGCTCTATGTTAGAGGCTTTAAAAGATTTATAAAATCAATAATTGTTCTGATAGGCACTCTATTAAAGGTATTAGCACGCTCGAAATCTCATCATCAATTGAAATATATTTGTGTTTACCTGGAGCTTGATAAGGTGCAACTGGAGGATAATACATCGGAGAATTCCAAGAGTACTGCGGGTTACTGGACGGGAGAGCTTGTGTATTCCACGGATAAAACGAACTGGAGGGATAAGCCCCTGAGAGCGCCTGCTCACCGGAATAAGCCGCTGAACCTGAGGGTTGAAAGCTTACTGGACTTGGTTGTGTCGTGACCTGAGGTTGGTCCTGTTTAGTGTAAATCAAATATTTAAAATGTTTATGGTTGTGATACTAGAAAATATTCGAAATTTTATCTCTTTAGGGTAGATGAGCACCCGAGTAGTTAAGCTGTATAATTACGGCTATGGAGCCTAGGGCATTTAGCCACTTTACTATCTTTGTAACCACTGTAAAGCTTTCCCTGTGACAATGAAAAAGTTAAACAACAGTTTACCGCTAATAAATCTTAGAACACGTCTCCACAGCAGAAGAAAACCGCGACGAGTTTCGTGAATTTTTCTTGTGAAACAATACATTCTTTGATCTGTCAGGATGGCTGAATATCAGCCTGTGTCTTTTTTTTCCAGTTCTTATATACCTCGACCCCCTTCTTAATAGAGTATAAAATTTGGCTAATATCCACTATTTTGACTTTAGGCTTACAGTCACACAAATTTGACTCACATTGAGAGCGGCATATGGTGTTACTTTCGGCTTCACAGGCTCAGGAGCCTCAGGTTGTGGTTTCTTCGGCTGTACGTGCGGAGCAGAAATCTGTTGTGGCACCTGGACGCTTGCAAGCGGTTGATGATATGGCTGCGTTGCAAACGAGTTGGGAACACTGGACGGGGAATCAAAGTATTTTGACATTGAAGCTAATGTTGCAGACAGAGCACCAGGGTTGAACGATGCAGCTTGAGGTGCTGACTGTGTCAAGAAACCGTTTTGTTGTCCAATAGCTGATTCAATCGTCTGCACTGGCATTGCAACTGGCTGGACAGGTGCAGCTGGTAGGAAAGGCTTAATGGGCTGAGCTGGTACGGCTGGTTGAGCTGGCACGGCTAGTGCAGCTGGCACGGCTGGTAGAGCAGGCACGACTGGTGCAGCTGGCACGGCTGGCGGAGGTGGTTTGGGTGTTCGAGATGGTGCAATTGGCTGAGGAGGTGTAACCAATTTAACAGGCTGTGGCTTAGGCAGTGGCTTAGGCGCTGAAACATCTTTCTGCGGTTCATTCACTTCACTACCACTCGAACCATGATCGTTAAATGGAGTCTTGGGAGTACTTCCAGTCGTCTGTGTTTCATGAGGCTTCTTTATCACTGATGAACTTGCCATATCACTGAAATCAATATCTGCTGGGTTGATTTTAGTGTCAGTTGCCTCGTTCGAGAAGCTCGCAACCTGACCACCCTCTGGCTGCACAGATTGTTCGCTAAGTTGATTATCGCTTTGAGGTGAAAAGGCTGATACGCTTGTCTCTTTGACTGTAAAAAAGGAAACCATTTCCTCAGGAAATTATTCTCATAAAAGAAAATTTAACCACGCTTAATGCTAACCCTTAGGATGCAAACCAAATCCTGGTTGACTTTTGGCATTAGCACGATTTTAAATACAAGTGCCATAGCTTTGACGATGATCGGGTGCTAGCTAAAAGACGTGAATTTCCTTATTTTCCCTTTTAAATGTTGTAATCTAACCCTCTTTGATAACACCTTTGCTTTATGAAAATTATGGTTCTCCATTTACTGCTTACTTGAGTTTATTCGTTGTAATTCCGTGTCATCTTGATGGTTTTGCTGAGACAAAGGCCCCACATTAGCATGAGCAGGTAAACTAGGAGGCGGTGGCTCACTCGTAAGAGCCGGAGCCATACTTGGAGGGGCTACTGCTTGAAACATCTGAGGTTGATAACTGCCCGTGTATGACGGCATGACAGGTTGATAAGCAGGCTGTGAAACTCCCCCAAAATAACCGGCAGCTTCCGGTGGATACGAAAGCGGCGATCCAAGATACATTTGGGGCGTGGACGCAATTTTGTCCTTTTGAGCTCTGACGAGGTCTTCGTGAGCTCTTTCTTTCGCCAAATACTTTGCTGCCTCTAACTTCACTATCAGTTTCAAAATACTTTCTGCTTGGTTGACGTCCTCGTCAGCGACTTTTTCAAGCTTCACGAATTTCTGTTTCTTTTGACTGTCCTCAGTTTGATCGGCGAGTTTCTTGAAGTTTTTCTCTTCATCCTTGAGTTGATTCTCTAAATTCTTGGTTTTATCTTCAATCGTCTTAGGACTTAATCCAAGCTCGTTTTCTATGTTACTGAGTGCTTTAGCTGCTTTTATGGCGCGCTGTAACTTCTCTCTTGCAACTACCACAGGATCATCTAGGTATATTTAAAAAAGATGTTTACGTCAGTAGTATATCATTTATAAACATGTGAATGTTAATAATCATTCCTTCTTTTTAATGATACCTTGAAGAGGGAGCTGCCGCTTTTGGCGTGCGTCGGTTTTGGATTTCACACTAGGGGATGTCTTTGGTACATGCTCGTTATCTGTAAAAGAGATGAAGAGCAAGGGGTACGTTAAGTGACCTATTTTGCATTTCCAACCGTTGTGAAGGTGAACAATATTAGTTGTGCAAAGTTACAGTTATGAAAATATCACTTTACTTTATCTGTTACATAAAAAAATAGAGAATGAGAAGAGAGTAAGTCAGATGTGGAAACATTCGCTATAGCTAATTAATTTGAATAATTATCAATGCAGGAGAATGTCGACCTGGCAGAAAGGCTACAAGATCAATCTAGATTAGTTGTGAAACGTTAGTGGACTAAGAAATAGCCAGAAGTAAATTGATACAAGAAAAAGTAATAGCATTGAATCCTAATTGTGTTGTTAGAAAATATCAAATTTTTCTTTTCATAAGTGGAAAACTAACCACACGCTTAAATAATTTTTCCAAAATCCAGCATTGAACACCTAACAATCCTAGATGTTCAGATTTTGAGAAGGATACTCAAAACGTATTTGCAAATAAACGTGACATGAAACGTTTTCGCTC